CCAGCTATATAAGCAATTTTATATGCATTTTGTGTTGTTCGATCAAGTGTTTGATTTCCAACAACAGTTGAAATACCAATTAATTCAAGTGATGGATGATATGCAGCTAGGATAATGGCAAATGCATCATCATGTCCAGGATCACAATCAAGCCAAATAGGTTTTTTTCTTATATCAACCATGAGAAGAAATAAAATGTTTTGTTTTACATACGGATGAATCAAAAAGAAATGATTATATTACAAATCGTTCTCTCCATTCTAGATAAGTGTACGAAAAAAAGAAAGATGACTATGGTTATATTTTTACACAAACATTATAACGATTAAAGATTGTTATGGTTCTTTTTTTCTTTTGTATGCAATGTTTTTCCTAAGTTTTGTTCTTGATGATGTATCTTTCTCTTTTTCTTCAATTTTATGATAATCATGTAGGAGCATTTTTTGAAGTAATGTAACTGTTGGAGATGTGATGAAGTGGCTAAGCAGAATATGATTGTTAAGGTACGGTAACAATACTAATGTTCTAGTGCATGGCGCATAGCGATAAGATAAAATGCTTGTGATGAAAACGAACAATTCTAAGCTAAAGTATTGAATGACACTGCTCCCGGGTAGTTAAGAAAATGGCATTAAATTGATGAAACGGACAACAAAGTCATGTACCTGAAATTTATCGATTAAAATAGACATGCTCATAAACTTCATTGCATGATTTTGATTAAAATCAAATTTCAATTCATTTGCTTTATTCAAATATTGTTTTTCATCAATGAGCTTGAGAGGAATCAATTTTTTTATTCGTTTCATTATCAGGAATGCCATTTTTTTCTTTTTTCTGACGTAATATTCACGAGAGTCATAATTTTTTGTTGGATTTTGACTCAATTGATTTATAGTATCTAGAAAACTGTGTTTCATGTTGTCGTAATTTTTTATTTTGAACAACAAATCAAATAGAAATAGTTTCAGTTGTTAATGCTAGATTAAGCCAGTTAATCAAAAGAAACCTTTTGAAAATGTTACACATGATAAAAATCATTAGTATGATAGACATATAAACTACATGGTTTGATTATGGGTTTTAGAATGTTACAATAAATCGAAATCAATTCACTAATATTCATTGTTTTGATTCAATATCAATTGAAAGAAATAAAGAAAATACAATCGAACAGTATTTTCATAGAAAAACAGCATTTAGTTAATTCAAAAATCATTTCTGGATTCTGTTGTCGTTAGCGCAAAGTATCAAAGATTTTTCTGCATCAAATCTATTGCTTTCATCGATAGCATATCTTACATATAAAACACTCGATGCCTTCGAGTATGGAAAAAGTTATTGTCTCTGTCACAAAAACTTTATGTCGGATTTATCTTAGCCTTAAACGTACAGAAATATAAGGCTAATGAGACACAATATATTTTCAAATTTTCTAAGTCAATGTTGACCTAATTTCTTAATCTTTTTTTTATCTCGTATTCATTCATTTTAAAAATAACAAAAAACGAATAAAAAAACAATGAATAATTATTGTGTTTGTTTGATTTGATTAACTGGACTTTTCTTATTTGCTAATTCTATAGCTTCTAACATCATATTCCAAAATTGTTCGACTTCTTTAATTTTCATAACTACAACACAATTTTTTTCTTTTCGATGCATATCAAACATATCACAAACAGTTCTTCCTGGACAAAATTCACTTGTTCGTTCAATATCAACATGCATCATTTGTTCTTCAAATAAATCTTTATTAGCTACATATGCAACTGCACATGGATCATGTAAGGGTGGTGAATCAAATTGAAATACTTGTTTATAAGTCGCAGCAAAAAAATGAAGTAAATGATCGAGAATTGATGAAAACGGAGTAGCTAAGGAACGTAAACGTTCACTAACATTTGGAATTACACAAACAGTATGTGTTAACTCTAATGGTACCATAACAAGACGTGGAACATGAGGAGATGTAAAAACAATATGAGCTGCATCAGGATCATTCATAAAATTAAATTCTGAACCAGGTGTCATATTTCCAATACCAATACAACCACCCATAAGGACAATTTCTGATAATGAATTCTTTATCTAAATTAGGATAAAAAATGAAACAAAAACACTTTGCTTGACAACAAAATACCTGAGGAAAAACTTTCAATAGCAAAGCAATATTGGTTAATTGGCCAGTAGCAATTAATGTTACTGGTCTACCAACATCAACAATCTTTTGATAAATATTCCATAGATAATTTTCATCTTGTTGTTTAATTAATGTTTTGTACTCTGGATGTTCTGGAATATCAGCTCCATCTAAACCTGTTTGTCCATGAATTTCTGGACATGTAATAACATGTCTACAAAGTGCTTCTCCACAACCACGTATTATTGGAATATTATTTGGAAGACCAGCTATATAAGCAATTTTATATGCATTTTGTGTTGTTCGATCAAGTGTTTGATTTCCAACAACAGTTGAAATACCAATTAATTCAAGTGATGGATGATATGCAGCTAGGATAATGGCAAGTGCATCATCATGTCCAGGATCACAATCAAGCCAAACAGGTTTTTTTCTTATATCAGCCATGAAGATAAATAAAATGTGTCACTCTTTTTGTTGTGTATGTAAGAATGAAAAAGAAGTTAAGATAATATATATAGTTGTTATCAGCTGAAACGTATGTGAAGAAATAGATGAATATGATAACATTGTGTAACACATAGAAACATTGATATGTTAAGATAATCCAGTGATAATGGAAGATAAGCAAACAAATTGAACATGGTGATCAGTCAAAAGACTGAATCATATGAAAATATTTTTATTGACCTCTTGCAAGTCTAAGTTAGCGATGATATAATGAGGAGTCATTAAATATTTCAAAATGATTAAACTACGATATATATATATACTTATATTTATAGAATTGTTTTCGACTTTTGGTGATTGTATAGAAATTGCCTATTGGAGATTTCCGACAAAAGTTTTCATGAACATCTTTTTCGTTTTTGAGATTTTCTTCGAATTAAATTTTTTCCTTTTCGATGTTTTGATAGCATGTTTCGTATTGTAGGCATTGATTTTGAATAAAAAATTCTACAATTATCTTGAAAGACAAGAAAACAATCTTCTCTGTAATGTTTTTTAATATATCTATTTCTCTCATTAATGCACATATTTGAAAATTTAGGACAATGTTTATCTAATTAGTTGTATGAGAAAAAATGTTGAATTTTGAATATTTTAAACTTTTTAAATAAAGAACAAGAGAAGAACAAACAATTTTACTACGAAGACCAAGATTTTTTCACTAATGTGGAGTAAAATGAATTTAAGATGGGAATCGATCAAATTTGTGGAGCTTGTCCGAACTCATGGTTTATTGATTGATAAAGTCTATTGTGAAGATTAGGCATGCACCAAACCCAAACCGTTTGGGTTTGGTGAGTTTGGGTATTGAGTTTGGGTTTGGGTTTGGGTTTGGGTTTGGGTATTTGAGTTTGGGTTTGGGTTTGGGTATATGAGTTT